GGGCTGGGAGGGTAGAGATTCTACGGGTGGTGGAGACGGGCTGGGAGGGTGGAGATTCTACGGGTGGTGGAGACGGGCTGGGGGTGGGGGCCCAAGGCCTGCTCCTCTGAGACCTCGGAGATTCACTGCGTCTCAGGCTGCCTCTGTAAAAGGAAGCAGTTGGATGCATCAGCCAGTGATCCTCTCCTGAGGTCCCAAGAGCAAGAGGCACTAAAAGCCCAGCCCTGCCCCCTATTTCGGGACGGGGAGTGTGGCCGGCGGGGTGGTTAACATGCAGCCTTAGTGCTGGGAAAGGCCCACAGACATCTTCTGTTCCCTGGGGCCTCTGTGACACCCTTTCCCCCAGCTCTGCCCCATGTCTGGCTGTGTCTCCTGGGGAGCCCAGGTCAGATCCATGGAGTCCCCTATATAACGTCTGACAGCCTGCAGGCAAGAAGGAGACTGGGAGTCCAGGTTGTGGTTCTTCTCCGGGTGTGAGTGGCCGCCGGGGCCTCCTCCTCCTCCCTGCCTGAGGCTGGCTGAATGAACAGGGCTCCGCCTTTTTCTCACACTGGGGAAAACTCCTACCTGGACACTCACAGGGTGTCTAGCTGAGCGTGTTCAAAGCTGAGCGTGTTCAAAGCAAGCTGAGCTGCTCGTCCGTGGCGTGATCTGCCCCGCTTCCCGTCTTCATCTCAGTGAGCGCGTTAGACCCGCTCTTGGCACACCCCCCAGCCCCCCGTCCCGTGGAGTCCTCTTTTTGGCCGTTGCTCACAGCCTCTGTGTCCTCCCACCCCCCGCCCCCGGCTCCCCATGGCCCTCACCTGGGCAGCTTCCTACCCTCCTGTGTGGCTGCTGCCTCCAGGCCCGCTCCTCTCCCAGCCCACCTCTCCTTGCGGGGGAGAGAGCCACCGAACCCCAAATGCCCTCGGATGAGACCAGGCTTTAAGGAATGGACCCTTGGCACGCTGAGCTGAGCTGTGCCCAGGCCTGGCATGGCTGCCTCCTCCTGGCACTCCTGCTCCTGACACCAGACCTTCTGTTCTCAGTTCCCGGGGCAGGCACTTCCTGACCTCCTCCTGCTGGAGGCCCTGTCTGCCTGAAGTGTCCTTCCCCCTAGTCTGGCTTCTCCTGCTCAGTCTCCAGCTTAGAAGGGACCTCCTCCGAGAAGGCTTTCCAAGCCCCCAAATGCAGTCCTCATGCGAGTCCCTGTCATGAGCGCCATATAACTGCGTGACTCTCCCAGACCACAAGCTCCAGGGGGCAGACTGCATTTTCTTTTTTTTTTTTTTT